TTCTTCCTCCTCCATCACCCACACCCGTCCACCATAGCCAACCACCTCCAACCCTTCATCCTCCTCCATCACCTACACCCGTCCGCCATAGCCGACCACCTCCAACCCTCCTTCTTCATCCATCACCCGCACCCGTCCACCATAGCCAACCACCTCCAACCCTTCATCCTCCTCCATCACCCACGCCCGTCCACCATAGCCGACTACCTCCAACCATTCATCCTCCTCCATCACCCACCCCCGTCCACCATAGCAGACCACCTCCAACCCTGCTTCCTCGTCCATCACCCACACCCGTCCACCATAGCCAACCACCTCCAACCCTTTTTCCTCCTCCATCACCCACAACCGTCCACCATAGCCAACCACCTCCAAGCCTTCATCCTCCTCCATCACCCATGCCCGTCCACCATAGCCGACCGCCTCCAACCCTTCATCCTCCTCCATCACCCACGCTCGTCCACCGTAGCCGACCACCTCCAACCCCCCTTCCTCCTCCATCACCCACAGCCGTCCACCATAGCCAACCACCTCCAACCCTTCTTCCTCCTCCATCACCCGCAACCGTCCACCATAGCCAACCACCTCCAACCCTTCATCCTCCTCCATCACCCACACCGGTCCGCCATAGCCAACCACCGCTAACCCTTCTTCCTCCTCCATCACCCGCACTCGTTCACCATAGTCGACCACCTCCAACCCTTCCCCCTCTTCCATCACCCACACCCGTCCACCATGGCCGACCACCCCCGACCCTTCTTCCACCTCCATCACCTGCACCCGTCCACCATAGACGACTACCTCAACCCTTCCTCGCTTATCACCTCCCTCATCCACTCGAGGGCCGAAGGGGCCGCAAAGGGGCACGGAAAACCCCGGGTAGGGCCGGTCAGGAAGAGGCGGGGATCAAGGTCGGTTAGGACGTGAGACTTCTCTCTCTCTCTCTCTCTCTCTCTCTCTCTCTCTCTCTCTCTCTCTCTCCTTCAAACTCTTTAACTCTCACCTCTTCCCTGCCCCCTTCCCCTCCATGGCATGTGACTAACCTCTACGCTCACCTGTTACATTGTCAGGGAACGAACGGAAAGGAACTACGTCCTCACTTGGTGGAAAGCGAGGGCAAGGGAAGGGTTGCCGGTCCCTTGTGTCACCAAGAAGGAAAGGATACGGGACTATTCAGTGCATTTGCGAAAGCAAAAAGGAGTGTTGATTTTGGACGAGATCAGTTTGACTCAACCGCCCTCCCGGAATGCATGACTGAGGCGATCGCATGGCTTGCCTGTGTGAACGGGGAGGGAACTCATAAGGGAAAATGGAAGGCAAAGACAACTTAGGATTGCGGGAAGGGGGGCGATGTGTTGACCCCGATGGGGATTGTGCTTGGTCATTTCTCTTGTGTGGTCTTGTGCAGGTGAGTAGCTAGGGGCGGTTTGGACGGGGCTGGGCCCGTGGATGAGGGCTAAGGTGGGAGATTGGCTAAGGAAAGGACTTGGATTCGGCTTAAGCCAAGGAGACGGGATGAGTTGAGACCGGACGCTTGGGTGGATGGCTGATGCGTGGACTTGGTTTGTGTGGAGGTTGCATGGAGTGTCTCTCTCATGTGCAATGCGACCCTTGAAAGGACTAAGGGGGGCCTTGGATAGGTGATGCGATGCTAGTGGCTCTCGCAAAAAATATAGCGGCTAGGGGTCCGGGCGACGCCGCTCCACCCTAAGGATGCTGCCGGGGCTGTCCCGAGCCACTAGACCTAGTGAAAAGGTGCGTGGCCCAATGGATGACGCTTGGCCTGTGCACGGTAAGAAGATAAACTCTCAATGAATTCCCTGGACTGCCTGCGTATTGGAAGGAGCAATTGCCTGATCAGACTTAACTGAATCGAGAAAACGCCACGAGTGTCAAGGAGCTACCATCTTGACGCGAGAGCGGAGCTACATCCCCCAATGTAAAGCCCTCTCGCATGTGGCCCATCCCCATCCATCTCAAAGCACTAGGTGGGGGTGCCCCTGGGACGAACGACCCGCCCCCTGAGCGTGAGCGTGGGCGGGTCGAGCCAAGTGGGACCCGCAGTGGGGTCGACCAAGGCTCGAAAGTCCTTCAGGGTACGGCCCCTACACCGTCTTTCTCATTTGTCGTCACCACGAACGCGAGTCAGTATAGAATAGGCGTCGTGTTGCAGCAGGACGATGACAATGGCTATAGACCTGTAGAGTTCATGTCGGCGAGGATGTCATCAGAGAAGGTTGCTACCTCGATGTATGAGAGAAAACTCTACGCTCTCAAACAGGTTTTAGAGCATTGGAAGCATTACGTGCTTGGGAGGCACTTCAAAGTGTACTCTGACCACGAGACTCTTCGATTGTTGAAGATACAGGCCAAGACGATACCTAAGTTGACTAGGTGGGCCGCTGAGATAGCCCAATACGACTTTGAGCTCAAGCCTGTGAAAGGCAAGTACAATGTAGTTGCGGACGCTCTAAGTAGAAGATCAGGCTACTTCAGCACTATAGTTCACTATCTAGACATAGGGAGTGACCTGCAGGAGAAAGTTAGACAGGCGTATGCGAAGGACCCTATCTATAGTGACCTCCTCAAGAAAGTTAAGGAGGCCCAAGAGACCGAGCCAGATTACCGCACTACAGAGGGGTTACTATTTAAGAAGACTAATGTTGTAGACCGCCTATGCGTTCCCAAGAGTGAGGAGATCCGCAGTCTGATCCTAGGGAAATGCCATGATACAGAGGGACACTTCGGCTGGCAAAAGACCTTAGCCAATCTGATGCACGCGTACACATGGCCAGGAATGAAGAACGACTGCATAGAGTATGTCCGCAGTTGTAAAGTCTGTCAGAGGAACAAGACTACTACGCGTTGTCGAGCGCACGGTCCCCACTGAGGGAACCTTCCCGGCCGCGTCACGTAGGATTGGCAGAATTCGCAAGTCGCTTCACGAAAAAGGGAAGCGGCGGAGCCGCTCCGGCCGAGTGCGCCAGCTATACCTCCATCGAGCCCCTACGACAGGACAGGGTCTCGCGATGTACAACTTACCTCCACCCGTGGGAGTTGTCACCATCCCTTGGGTAGGCGTATTCCCGCCGAGCTACTGAACCACATGCAAAAGTTTTTACTTGCAATCGCGGAGGTGGCCCAACCGAGGGCGTTTCTCATATGCTGTAGCATAGGGGGTACGCGCGGTCCACGCATAGCTCGGACCCGTACGCGAACCGTCACGCTGGGGCACTGATCTCCCACGTGCGATTCAACATCGGTCGACTAGGACATCCTAACTCAAGCACACGATACGCAACAAAACGAACTAACTTAGACAAACAAATAAGCCTAGTCCCTTTTTCATACGTCCTGACCCATAACTCAGAAAAACCTTTATGTCTGAGCGAGACCCACACAAAGTTGCATAAAAAGAATGCAACCGTCAAGGGAATCATAATGCTCAGTCATGTGTACTCCGTTGATCTATTATCATGGCGACGCTTCATGCGTTACCCACATTCGCGCACCCTCTTATGGGTTTCGGGGTTGCATACGACACTCAAGTGTCGAAAGCAAAATATCGTGAAGGGTTCTTCCTTCACGATATTGCTCGGCTGAAGGATAAACCGTGCGGCCTTTGCGGCGCCCCTGTCTTTTAGACAGTGGGTGACCATAAGCAAGAGGCGCAGACGCAGCTCAAGGGGAGAACCCTTTTGTGCTGGACTAGAGCCTAGGATGTCCTGGACAAGGACCTCGAATTCAAGGCTCAGGACCAACGTCCGACTAATAATTTAAAAAGCAAAACCCCTTCGAGATGGGATTTGCTCGTCCCTCCCCTGAGGGAAGAAAAATAAGAGTAGTCACGAGTTGGAGAGCAATTCACCATACCCAAACTAAGTATCGGTCCACTCAAAGGTCGAGCGCTAAACCTTGCGCTCGGTTTTTCCTGCCTGCTCGCTAGATGCGCGCGGTAAGAGCAAAATAAGAAAAAGAAAAGGGTGAGTCTCGGGGGAAATCAGGGAGAGTCATTCTCATAGCCATAGCTGAACCTTGTGACTCACGCCCTGCACTCATTCATTCATATCACTCTCAATCCAGGAGCGAGTCCTCGCTCCCATACATACCTGCACACATATGAAACCCAATGAACATTCATATCCAGATGCCGCAAAACGTGGTCAACCCCTTCGCTCCCAGATTCATGTCCCACACGCCCCTTTCCGACCCCCATTCGACAAAGGTATCCCCGACCGATCCATTTTACATAACTTTTAAATGATCATTCAAGAGAGGTTCCAAAGATAGGTTTTCTTTCATACGGAAATGCCTTTCGCCTACAGGGTCTCAGACATCTGAGCATGGGTATCACGGTGGGTAGGAGTTAAGTCGCAAACCGACCTACTATCAATTTGATGACATAAGTTAATAAAGCTCAAAACTTCGAAGAACACTCGCAGGTAGCAATGACATGTGTCACAAAGATCAAGACGGGTATCGCCTATCGAGTTAACATAGTTCAACTCCGTACCGCACTCTAGGCTACTTAGCAGCATTGTTCGATAACGATGTGAAAATCCCGAAAATTTCGGCAACACTTCCTTTAGGGAAGTGTGCTCCCAAAATATTTACTATACCAAATCTAAAAAAAAAATCGAGACTTAGAAAATATCTGAAAATAAACTAACTCTTTGGTTTCAGTAGAAATTTTGGCAGCACTTCCTTTAGAAAGGAAGACTTCCAGAATTCCTACTAACTCTAATGACAAAAATTATGTCCTATCCTAGTTGACATCTCTGAAACTTAACTAACTTTGAGTATTTAGTAGAAATTTTGGCAGCACCTCCCCTAAGGAAAAGAGGCTCCCAGAACTTCTACTAACTCAGAGGCTTGCCAATGCCCTACCAAGAAATCATGCATGAAAAGACAAATGCGAAAACAAGAATGAACATCTACCTACCTATCGCTCAAGCATAAGGCGAGCACTAACAGACTACCCTACTATGCAGAAAACAGACAGAGTTTGAACAAACGACAAGTCATTGTTAACCAGCATGTCATGCTTACAACGCATTCAACCAAACAAGGATTCGTTCATCCAAAGTTTTCATCTTTCCCTTGTTCTGATCACAAAAACATTAGTCTTGTATCTTACTTAGTTGATTAACTTTTCAAATTGTTCTCAATCAACCCCATGCAATCGCTAACACACTAACCTCGACTATCCTCACAAAGAGAATACTTAGACCTTTGTCAACAAGCAAAATCGACTAACTTCGCACGGCGACCTGATAAGTCTGGAGGACCTCATTTCCAGCCCCAGTTCAATGTCTTAGGCAAAGCAGCAAGGCGACCGGATCAGTATGAAGGACCTCATTTCCAGCCCCAGTTCAATGTCTTAGGCAAAACAACCAAGCCACCGGATCAGTCTGGAGAACCTCATTTCCAGCCCAGTTCAATGTCTTAGGCAAAACAGCAAGGTGACCGGATCAGTCTGGAGGACCTCATTTTGAACCCCAGTTCAATGTCTTAGGCAAACAGCAACGCGACCAGATCAGTCTGGAGGACCTCATTTCGAGCCCCAGTTCAATGTCTTAGGCAAAACACCAAGGTGACTGGATCGGTCTGGAGGACCTCACTTCCATCCTCAGTTCAATGTCTTAAGCAAACAGCAAGGCGACCGGATTGGTCTGGAGGACCTCATTTCCAGCCCCAGTTCAATGTTTTAGGCAAAACAGGAAGGCGACCGGATCGGTCTTGAGAACATCATTTCCAACCCAGTTCAATGTCTTAAGCAAAACAGCAAGGCGACTGGATCGGTCTGGAGGACCTCATTTCGTGCCTCAGTTCAATA